AAAATGCATTGTTCATTCTACACATATTACCACCTGTAACAAGTCTTTAAACTGAAGAACCCACCTGTTTTTTAAAAAATGAGGCAAGCCAGGGAAATTTCTCTATTATGAAGGGTTTTTTTTTAAGAAAACAAAAAACGTGGCAAATCCTTTCCAGCTCATGGAGATGTCTGCAACAGCCCATTTTCTGGAGATCTCCCTGGCTCATAAACCAGCATTTGCCACCACAATGGGCTGTGAGAAGATTCACAAGCACTGAAAATTCAGTAAAACATAAGGCAAGGTCAACTTTATATTTAACCGCTGTCACCAGACCAGAATATGGATCAAATCCAAGACGGTTTCCCCGAAGACCATTCCAATTTTAAATCCTCCCAGGCACCACCAAGTGGAATTTGGCACTTTCTCATTTAGGAGCAGTTGACACTTATTGCAAGCTGATTTTTGCACGCTTTTTCTCTCTTTGACTATCCCAGTGCTTGTGAGGGCAGGAGGGGATTTTTCTGCCCTGCCGTGCTTTAGGTGGTGTTAAACAGAACCAACTGGATCCGCTGACAAATGACTTTAAAAAAGGAGCCCAACAGAGTGAGAAGCACTGAGGAAATAAGTATGAGAAATTAAAGGCATCCTTTAATACCTTTAAAGGATGCCTTTAATTTCTCGTACTTATACTCCTAAATACCTTTAAAGCCTCATTGGTGCAGCGGTTACAGGGCAGTATTGCAGGCTACTTCCGCTGCCTGCCGGCTGCCTGCAATTTGGCAGATCGAATCTCACCAGGCTCAAGATTGACTCAGCCTTCCATGATTAGTAAAATGAGGACCCAGATTGTTGGGGGGAAATATGCTGACCACTTAGAGAGGGCTGTAAAAAGCACAGTGAAGTGGTATATAAGTCTAAGTGCTATTGCTATCACTGAGATGAGTGAAAAGACTTTGATGGATTAATTGAAGCTGAGCATTCTTCTTGAAACACGGAAGGCTGATTGACACCAGCCCTTCAGGACAGGCAGACTTTTGATGGCCTCTGAGGCTCCTGGACAGTTTAATGGCACCAAAAAGATTCATTCTTTTTGTAAAGGGGGTTTTGTCTCTGAAATTACGGCGACATTTTGGCAGCATTATGCTAATAGAGATATAAATCTTTCATTTACTACTCCGTAATTGAGGTCTTATCCCACAGAATGAAAATTAATATACAATGTCAAGGAGCAGAAGGCTCGCTGAGCAGATCAAAATAGGAGAAACATTTTAGAGTAAGAAAAGTGAATCTTGCATAGGGTTCCACGAATGGCCGGATCTTTCTGTTGCTTCTAAACACCGTTCATTCCCCAAGAAGGAGCAAAATATATGGAAATCATCTTCCCCTACAATCAGAAACATTTTCTTCTGATGATTTCATATTAACCTCAAGGCTTCCATGCACATAACACTTTTTAAGGTGGAAGGTTTTCTTAAAAGCACAGTCCAAAGGCACAATTACCTGTTGGCCAGGCGTCAATCTGCACAACACATAATGGAAGACATTACAAACCATTTTTGAAGAAGAGGCCCATACTCCCTAATAGCGACTGTACTGAAAAACACAATATACTGCTATTGAAACTCTCCAGATTGGGGTGGGTTATAAAAATAAGGCCATTACATAAGACGGTCATTAGTTTAAACAAGGGGTCTCCCACCCTGGTGTTTTAAAGAATTGTGGACTTCAACTCCCCAATAGACTTCAGTGGACTTCAAGTCCCAAATAATCTGGGAGTTGAAGTCTGCAACATGGCTGGCTGGGGAATTCTGGGAGTTGAAGTCCACAAGTCTTCAAGTTGCCACAGTTGGAGACTCCTTGTTTAAAACAGAAAGCAAAACAGTATCGAATTCTGACCACCTCTGCACAATTCACTCTTGCTATCACGAACATCCTATTTCTATTTGCTTGCAATATCTAATGGCAGCTGAAACAAGCACACAGCACAATTTTGTGTAGTCCAGCCTGGCCATCTATTGTTAGACCTAACGTGTCCCAAGAAGAGTGTCATTATCCCACAAGAGACAGAGAGTGTCCAGTCTCCTTCGGACATGAAAGGAGGAGATTCTGAATTATCCATCGTCTTAGGACAACCAGTTGTAAGTCGCAAATTCAACAAAAGGCATCTGATCGTTGTTTCGCTCAGGTCCACAAAGTGACCTGTGATAAATGTACACTTCAAAAAAAGGCAACGTGGTTTGGAAGATGTATCAATAAAACTAGTGCGCTGGAAGACACCTGTTGAATTACATACTAAGTGACTAACAACATGGGGTATATTAAGGAGAAGTTATGCTTTTTTTTCAGTTAAAAGAACCAAGGCTGTGAGGCAGGTTCCACACAAACATACGCTGAAATTTACTCCCGTGTACTATGAATCGATAGCAGCAACAAGCTAGTTGAAATAAAGATAGGAGTAAGGTAGAGTTAGTAGTAGTCGAGTAAAGGGCATCACTTTCTGGAGCAGAATTAAACTAACAAAATTAATCTCAGTTCTGACTGTAAATTTTTCACCTACCGCTAAATTGCAAAGGAAAAATTGGTGTGTTGCTTTGATTACGCCAACGTGGGCGATTGTGAATTGAAGGAAACTGTGTTACACAGCTGTAATCCACTCTGGAAACTGTAACCCCTATCCTATTGGAGATCACCAGACCAGAAAAACTGATCTATACTAAGGCATGTTAAGAAAATGTAAAACACATTTAACAATTCATAGATATAAAAAACAAATTAGGAGGCCTACTGGATCCAAAGAGCAATGGTTCTGACCAAATATGACATTGAGCAGATTGTCTTTTATTCTAAAGCTTTTTAAAAATGTGAATATTAATGGTCAGCACTTACAATGCTACTAGAAGTTAGCCACCCTACATGGCACTTTAAAGCGGAAATACACCGGCCTAATAAACCGACATATTCCTCACCAAAATTTCCAAAGAGCCATTGATATCTTTTGTAAACAAATATTGGCTTAAATTGAATTTTAATTTAAAATAATTTGGCTAGACTGGGGGTTTCTTATCTGTATTCTCAAGAAGCCCGAGGCCCCCCTCGGAAGATCTCTACAAGAAGATTATGGTTGCTGATCGTTACAGAGGTCGCTGCAAAATTAAGAGAAAAATCAGAAAGTTGGGTGTCTAGATCTCTAGAATGTCATTGTTGTGGCCTGCCGGCGGCTAGCAGAGCTGGCAGCAGAGTCGGATAGTGAGGAGGTTGGGGAGGAACATGGGCCAGTCCTGGAGACTGAGGAAGGCTCAGACAAGGGCTCTGCGTCAGAGGTAGAGATGGGGCCAGGGCAGTCTGGCAGTTGTCAGCTGCCTTCGGAGTCGGGCAGCAGTGAGGTGGGGAAGCAGCTGGAGCCAGGTCCCAGCCTGCGCATGCGCAGAGCTGCCAAAAGAACAATTACAGACTAAGGGTTAATGTGGGAGTAAAGTCACAGGTGGATGGTAAATGGCCCCTCCCATAGGGATGAAAAGGGGGAGGGGGCTTTTGCAAGAAACAATTTTGTTCGTTGCAGAAGTGTGAAGATTTGTCTGTGCATCTCAGAGACTCTGTGCTGAGCCTTCCTTGTCAGCACTGTGTTTGGAAATATTTACTTGGCAGCTCTCCAAGCTAGATAAGGCCTGTGCTCCTCATTGCACCCTTGAAAGGCTGTTTGCCAGGCCTTTGGCGGAATGCGAATGCAAGAAATTCACCTTTGTTTAATAAAAGGGGTTTTGCTAGGACAAAAGGACCGCTTAGTGCTTTTGGGGGAAGCCTAGGACAGAACAGTCATTGGGTTGTGAAACATACTGGTGTGGCACCTGGTGGATGAGCAGCCCTTAGTAGACATAGCGGTATGGAAGGTAGAGAGAAATCTCAGAACGCACAGAGCCCGAAAGGAAAGCTGGATTACATTAATAATTTGGTTTATCCCGAGTAATCTTGAACTGCTCCCGCAAAACAAGACCTGAGGTAAGTTTCAGAACCTTACACTACCTTCTTAGCGATGGACAGAAGAATGTGTCCTTCGCTAAGGACCGGTGGCAAACCATCGTCCGCCGTTCGCTTGCCTTCCCAATAAATTAATCCATAGCTTATGTACCTATTATCCGTTTGGAGGAATATGCACTAATACTTAAAGGCATTGCTGAGTAGTGAACAAACGACTTAAAAGAAATGTTAAATAAAATTTTGTACACCAAGTTATAAATTAAACGAATACTGCTATGTGTTGCCTGACCCCAAATCCCTTCCATGCCATTTTGGTTGAATTCACACTCAAGTTGCATTAAAGCAGGGGTGTCCAACCTTGGCAACTTTAAGACTTGTGGGCTTCAACTCCCAGAATTCCTCAGCCAGCAAAGCTGGCTGAGGAATTCTGGGAGTTAAAGTCCACAAGTCTTAAAGTTGCCAAGGTTGGACACCCCTGCATTAAAGCAAGAGTATCCAACCGTGGCAACTTTGGACTTCAATTCCCAGAATTCCCCAGCCAGCCAAGCTGGCTGGGGGATTCTGGGAGTTGAAGTCCACAAATCTTAAAAGTTGCCAAGGATGGGCACCCTTGCATTAAATTTTCTACCGAATGCTTCTCAAAGGGAAATTAAAACGCTTTGTGTAATATCCGTGCCACCTATTCCATTCAAAGTGTCACATTTGGCAGGTGTGTTTCTAACGGGATCTGATGACTTTTGAAAATTATTTTCAGGTCTCTGCACGGCATGTTGACACCTATACAAAGAGCAGGCAATAAAAGCACACCGTGTACTGCATAAATAATTTCCCTTTTCGAAAAGAAAAAGAAAAAAAAAACCCAAACCAAAAAAAAAAAATCACACCAGCTAGGACATGGTTTACAGTACAAGATTATAGGCACTTAAAATTATCAAAGCGATTCTGCGGTTTGTTCTGGCGGACTTGGGGGGGTCTTTGGAAACAGCCTGCGATTTCGATCTTCGCCTCAAGCTTGAAAGGAAGCCGCACGAACTTTTACAGGAGCTGTTGGATTTCAGGTCATCCTTTTGATGCAAACACAAAAAGGAAGGTAGATGTAACTCTTCTTCGCATCTCGTAGGCATTGTGAAAAAAAGAAAAGAAACGGGTAGCTATACACAAAATTGAATGGCTTCTTTAAGTCCTCCAAACACGGGAGAAAAAAAAAATTCTGGCACAACATCGTAGAAGACTTAAGGGACTTGTCTGATTACTTTAAGTGTCCCAGACACACAGGCTATTCTGTCAAGTCCTGGTTAGGTAACATCAGGCAGGAGACAAAAAGCTTGATTTTTTCCTTCCATTCACTGCTGTGTTGCATTCATTTAACTTAAGGCTTTCACAGAAAGCGCGATCCATCTGAATGTTCAATTCAGCACTGAAGAAACCGATGGGAACCTAAAACTGGGATGAAAATCTTAATGCAGTTCAAAATTAAAACTAAAAAGAAGACGACAAGGCCATCCACGCATGTATCGTATTGTGTGCGCGGATCCCACCTTCTTATTAAAATGTAAGATTTATTAGCAGCCTGTAGAATTAGCGAGGAAGTGTGGGCTGAAAGTCAGATGTCCCCTCCTGATCCCACCAAACCTGCTCTGGGTTGAGTGAAGAGTTCTTAAAAGAGTTCCCAAATTCACTCTTCCTGCGACGTTTCTTTGTCAAATTTTAACGTCTTGCGATTCCACCATCTTGCCCAGGGTTTTCTTAATCCTCAAGGCGGTCAGTCTAGAGGCTGGGTTGTGGGCCCAGCATTCGCACATTAATTTCAGTATGGCCCTTAAACACTGGAAACAGAACAGAACAGGAAAATCTCATAGAAAGGAATACACTGAAATAATATTAACCAACCGTGTAACATGTGCTAGCCCCATTACGCCCAATTTAAAATTGGTCGCACAAAGAAAAATAACAATAAGCATAGAAAAACTCTGAAGTAGATGAGTTGACCAGGAATTCAATAATAATAATAATAATAATAATAATAATAATAATAATAATAATAATAATA